AACGGTTGTTAGTGAGAGCGTGTGTTTTCCGCGCGGCCGTGGAGGCGGCGGCAGAAGATGGCGTGCTGTGGACATTGTTTTTGTTGTAAATGCTGCTGCAGAGACGCGGAGACTCGCACCCCCGAAGAGCTGGTACGTACAGCGGCCTCTGAGCCTCCTGTCCCCGGGCACAGAGGCACCAGAGCCGGCCTCCTGACCTCCACAGCCCCGGCCGCACCCCGGAGCGGGCAGGGCATCCGAGCTACCAAAACACAACTGCACACTTAGACACACACATAAACACACACACACATAAACACACATAAACACACACAAACACACACTTACTGAGGCTTTTGCGCCATCACGAGGAAAGACACACACACACTAAAGCTGCACTGTGGAACTTTTCTCCACCACCTGCTCGTCTCCATGGAGATGTGACTGTTTTGGCAGGAATGTTCCACAGTGGGACAGATTTATACAAAACCAGTCTGATCTAAACCAGGACTCTTTCAGGTCTAAACTAGGACTAAACCAGGACTATTTTGAACCTAAACTAGGACTAAACAGGGACTATATCAGGTCTAAAGCAGGTCTAAAATGGGTCTAAACCAGGTCTAAACCAAGGCTAAACCAGGGCTAAACTAGGACTATTTCAGTACTAATTCAGTGCTATTTCAGGACGATTTCAGGTCTAAACCAAGTTTAAACTAGGTCTAAACCAGGTCTAAACTAGGACAATTTCAGGACTATTTCAGGTCTAAATCAGGTGCAAACCAGGTCTAAACTAGGTCTAAACCAGGTCTAAACAGGTCTAAACTAGGTCTAAACCAGGACTATTTCAGGATGATTTCAAGACAATTTCAAGTCTAAACCAGGTCTAAACTAGGAATAAACCAGGACTATATCAGGTCTAAACTAGGACTAAACCAGGACGATTTTGGATCTAAACTAGGACTAAACCAGGACTATTTCAGGACAATTTCACGAGTGATGAAATGAACTTATCTGATCTGAAACTTGAATCTGAAACTTTATTTTTAACCATGATTTGATCAAACACAGTAATATATCAACTTAAAAAAAACAACAACAACAACAACAACACTATCACAGTCTCTTTTGGCTCTGTGTTGGCAGCTTCGACAGACATTTACATGCAAACACTGATTTGTTTTTGGGTTTTTTTCACATCTGAACCTTTGTCGTGTTTATGTGTCGTGTTTGTGTGTTTTTGCAGACGATCCTCGGAGAGTTTCAGAGCGAAGATGAAATCCTTCCCCGGAAAGATTACGAGGTTTGTGCAGCAGCAGCAGGTTCTGGTCTGACCCCGAGGAAATGAGGAAGTGAAAGTTTGTGTCTGTTTCCTCAGAGTTTGGATTACGACCGATGCATCAACGAACCGTACGTGGAAGTGCTCGAGGGGATCACCAACAAGGTGAGGAAGGAGGAGGAGGAGGAGAGGAGGAGGAGGGGAGGAGGAGGAGGAGGAGGAGGAGAGGGGAGGAGGAGGGAGGAGGAGGAGGAGGAGAGGAGAGGAGAGGAAGAGGAGGAGGAGGAAGAGGAGGAGGAAGAGGAGAGGAGGAGGAGGAGGAAGGAGGAGGGGAGGAGGGAGGAGAGGAGGAGAGGAAGAGAGGAGAGGAAGAGGAGGAGGAGGAGGAGGAGAGGAGGGAGGAGGAGGAGGAGGAGAGAGGAAGAGGAGGAGGAGGAGAGGAGGAGGAGAGGAGGAGAGGAAGAAGAGAAGAGGAGGAGGAGGAGGAGGAGGAAGGAGAGAGGAGGAGGAGAGGAGGAGAGGAGGAGGGGGAGGAGGAGGAGAAGGAGGAGAGGAGGAGGAGGAGGAAGAGGAGGAAGAGGAGAAGAGGAGGAGGTGGAGAGGAGGAGGAGGAGAGAAGAGGAGAGGAGAAGGAGAGGAGGGAGGAGAGGAGAGAGGAGGAGGAGAGAGGAGAGGAAGAGGAGAGGAGGAGAGGAGGAGAGGAGGAGGAGAGGAGGAGAGAGGAGGAGGAGAGAGGAGAGAGGACAGAGAGGAGGAGGAGGAGGAGAGAGAGGAGGAGAGGAGGAGGGAGGAGAGGAGAGGAGGAGAGGAGAGGAGAGGAGGAGGAGAGGAGAGGAGGAGGAGGGGGAGAGAGGGGAGAGAGGAGAGAGGAGAGAGAAGAGGAAGAGAAGAGAGAGAGGAGGAGGAAGAGGAGCAGGAGGAGGGAGGAGAGGAGGAGGAGAGGAAGAGGAGAGGAGGAGAGGAGAAGGAGGAGGAAGAGGAGAGGAAGAGGAGAGGAAGAGGAGGAGAGGAGAAGGAGAGAAGCAGCAGCAGCAGGAGGAGGAGGAGAGGAAGAGGAGGCAGAGAGTGTAATCAATCACATTAATTACAAATACTACAATTCTTGCTCTCGCCAATAACGATCATTTTTCAGAAAAAAATTCCCATGGGAACTTTAAACCGGACAGTTTGGGAATTTTTCAAAACTAAGAAGTGATTAAAAGGGTTTTCTATCAATCAATCAATCAAACTTTATTTATAAAGCACTTTTCATCCAAAAAAAAAAAGCTTTACAGTGATTAAAAACAATCCCACATTTCCTTCCACCCACAGAGGAAACACTGGAAATACTAAACACCTAAAATAAATAAATATAATAAAAACAAGTGAGAGTATAAAATATCAAAATATCGACATATCGTATCGTTTAATGTGATGATTCAGTATCGATATCGGGGCTGATGCATCGATATATCAGCAAGAGGATTTTTTTGGTTTATTTTACTGAATGATTTAGTTCCAGTTCCAGTTTTGTTGTTTGTTCAGAGGAAGGAAACTCGTTTATGCGACACATTTGACATTTTCATTGTTTTGATGATTTAAACGTTTGTGTTTCATTTGAACTTTGCACAAGAAGTGATCCTGTTCAACTTTTCTACTCTGGACGCTGGTTTCAGATTTTTGTGTTTTTAAAGCCTTAAAAACGCCATCACCTTCTAAAGGAAACACACTTCCCATAAAATATAGAGTTTTTGTTTTTACCCACAAGTGTTCTCGTGTAAACAGGCCCCAAATGTTCTAATCTAGAGAATCTAAAAACCTTGCTCCTCTCTGAACCTGTCAGCGTTTGTGCTTCGTCAGTTTGTGTCGTGTTTGTGACGAGGTAACTGATCCGGACTATTTCAGGTCTAAACTACAGCTAAACCAGGACGATTTCAGGTCTCAGAAACGATTTCAGGAACTAATTTTCAGGAGATTTCAAGGACGATTTCAAGTCTAAACTATGTCTAACTAGGTCTAAACTATGTCTAAACCAGGACGATTTCAGGACGATTTCAGGACGATTTCAGGACGATTTCAGGACGATTTCAGGACGATTTCAGGACGATTTCAGGTCTAAACTATGTCTAAACTAGGTCTAAAACGATTCTAAACTAGGTCTAAATTAGGTCTAAACTATGTCTAAACCAGGACGATTTCAGGACGATTTCAGGACGATTTCAGGACGATTTCAGGACGATTTCAGGACGATTTCAGGACGATTTCAGGACTATTTCAGGACTATTTCAGATCTAAACTAGGACTAAACCAGGACTATTTCAGGTCTATAGCAGGTCTAAATCAGGTCTAAACTACAGCTAAATCAGGACGATTTCAGGTCTAAACTAAGTCTAAATTAGGTCTAAACTTGGTCTAAACCAGGACTATTTCAGGACGATTTCAAGACGATTTCAGGACGATTTCAGGTATAAACTAGGTCTAAACTAGGTCTAAACCAGGGCTTAACCAGGACTATTTCAGGACTATTTCAGATCTAAACTAGGACTAAACCAGGACTATTTCAGGTCTAAACTACAGCTAAATCAGGACGATTTCAGGACGATTTCAGGAAGATTTCATAATGATTTCAAGACGATTTCAGGTCTAAACCAGGTCTAAAGTAGGACTAAACCAGGACGATTTCGGATCTAAACCAGGACTAAACCAGGACTAGAGAATCTAAAAACCGTGCTCCTCTCTCTGAACCTGCGTTTGTGCTTCGTCAGTTTGTGTCGTGTTTGTGATGAGGTAACTCTTGATGATCCGACACGAGTGGATTTCTGACCTTTGCACAAATGACCTGATGCTGACGACACAAACGCACGAGTCACAAAACAAACAGACACGCTGAGAGAATCTGTTTCAGGAGAACTGACTTTTGACCCTCAAAACTACAACTAAAGATTTCCACTTTGCCCCAGATGGCCGGAGTGATTTGTGTTTTTGTTTTGTCATCCGCAGAAGGCGCGGAAGTACGAGGCCGTGCGCTGGGTCCTGGTGTTTGCCATCGGGGTGACCGTGGGGCTGGTAGGGCATCTGGAGCATCTGCACACACATGTTTGGTCTTTCGCTGGGACTGTGATTTTGTTTTGTTTTTTCAGGTGGGAGTGTTTGTGGATTTCTTCGTTCATATTTTCACCGAACTCAAACTGAAAGTGGTTGGAGCCTGTATCCTTTTACACAAACGACACAGTTTATGTTTCAGTACTTTTGGCTGATATGAAAAATGCCCCCACATTTCCACATTTATTTTTATTATTTTTTACACCTTTTTTTTTTTTTCATTTTACACGACTATAGAATTCTGATGTGTTCTTTGACCAACACACACATACACACACACGCACGCACACACACGCACGCACACATATATATATATTATATATATATATATATATATATGCGCACATATACACACACGCACACATATACACACACACACATATATACACACACACACACACACATATCACACACATATATACACACACCATTTTCTCAATAGCCCATGTGGGTGAAGTGTCTTGCTTAAGGACTAGTGGTGTATTGGTATAAAAATCACAGTTTTGTTCATTTTCGGTTCAGTTTGGAAACGAAACACAAATCCATTCACTTGTCGTTTATTTGTGTTTTTATTAAACCAACAGTTTGTTCCACTGCCCCAATCACGGACAAGTTCCCTCATGAATATTAAAAAGCCGAACCTCTGTGTGGCTCAAGTCGTGTCCAAACTGTGGCCCGTGGGCGTCGGACAAATTTTTCTTGGCCCTCAGACTTCCAGGTGAACTGGTCCAAATGACCTTACATCAATTAAAAGTGAACTTTTTACTGCAAGTTTTTTGAAAATCTACTTTGATAAAGTGAATATTGAATATTTAGTGTTTAGTGGTTTTAAGAATCTTAGTCTACGTTCAGACTGCAGGGCTTAACACTCAATTCAGATTTTTTTGTGAAATCCGATGTTTTTTCGAGGTCGTTCACATTTCCAGTTAAATGTGACTTGTATGTGATCTCCAGTGTGAACATTAAACGTCCCAAAAGTGTCCCACATGTGACACTGGAGACACGACGACGTCAACCGCAGCGAGCGTCTCTGTGTTTACACAAGTTGTCCAAACATGGACGCAGCATCGAGCACCTGGAGATTTTAAAGTTCCTCTCGTACCGGAGCCACAACATGAACAACTGACTTGTTTTAAGGAGGAGATTGAGAAGGAGAAGGACGAGGTTTTTGGTCGTGGGTTTTTGGTGGTGGTGTTTTGTGGTGAGTGGAGATGTGCTTCACTTCAGTCACTTCACTTCATGAACAGTTTTCTCCTACTTCAGCGCAGAATAGTGACGTTTGTGTCTTGTTGATAACGTGTAGGTGGATGAATGTGACCTGACCGTTCACACTGAAGTCACATGTCAAAAGATCAGATATGTATCAGTTTCAGGAGCACAGATCCAAGTGTCCTGGGTCATGTTTGAAAAAATCGGATCTGTGTGGTTCAGACGTCATTAAAAGATCAGATACAGGAACATAGGGGCCAAAAAAATCAGATTTGGGTCACTTCAGGTGCAGACTGAACGTTGCCTTAGTGTGAATAAAGTTTGATGTTTCATTCTAACATGTTCAACCTGCACAGATTTGAACTATTCACTGCACTGAGCATCAGTCTGCGGCCCTTGATCGACCTCTGCTTCGTGTTTCGATCTGTGACCCTTGATGAAAACAGTTTGGACACCTGGAGCTGCACATGTGGCCGAATGTAAACAAACACAAATTGTACAAACTCACTCGTGCGCAGCCGTGCACCAAACCCAACGTCCTGCACTGAAACAGTTTGGCACGAGCACATGCACCGTTACATCACCACTAACGATACAACAACATACAAGTATTTTACCACTGGCGCCTGGAAATCCCAGCGGTCACATCCAAGTCCTGACCAGACCCGGACCTGCTCAGTAAAAGATCTGATCAGACAAATACAAACATTTTAAGACCGAAAAAAATTGGAGGGAAGTTATAGAGACGGACGTGACAATTTTTCAATGTAAAGTTGATCGTCTCTATTCACGCTTCCGTCACAAACCAGGAAGAAGTTTGGAAACATGCGATGAAACGTCTGGTGTATTTCCCGACACTGGACCCGAGCGACTGTGATCAAACCCACTGAAGTAAAAGTGTCAGCGGTAAAATGAAAACTGCAGACGTATGTGCTGTTTGAATCATCTCATCTCTTCTAATCACATGTCCCCAGTGCGATCGAAGTCACGTGTTAGTGGGGAAATGATGGAATTGTTGATGAGCCGAACATAAGGGAACGCTACAAGGACATGGAGATGAAGAAAACTGACAAAATGTAGGAAAAACTAGAAAATGTACCAGAATTACTACCACGAACAGAACCCATAAGGAAGTTGTCACTGAAAGTTTCCAAACGTCCTCCTGGTTTGTGACGGAAGCGTGAATAGAGGCAATTGGAGCCAGAGTCGATTGAGCTCGCCTCCTGTGTGGAACGGGGCGGTTGGCGGGTTAGACGTGTCCATAAACACCGTCTGTTGTGAGTTTGTTCCTGATCTGGAGCTCAGCTGTGGAGACCTGCACAGAGCGAGGATGTCTGGCTCTGTCCCTCCTGGAGCTTCTCGCCTTCAACCTGACCTACGTGCTCCTGGCCAGTGTCTCGTGCTCGTCTCAGGTCTCACGTCTCACACGTCTCACACGTCTCCAACACGTCTCAACACGTCTCAACACGTCTCCAACACGTCTCCAACACGTCTCCAACACGTCTCCAACACGTCTCCAACACGTCTCCAACACGTCTCCAACACGTCTCCAACACGTCTCACACACGTCTCACACACGTCTCCAACACGTCTCCAACACGTCTCCAACACGTCTCACACGTCTCCAACACGTCTCACACGTCTCACACGTCTCCAACACGTCTCCAACACGTCTCCAACACGTCTCCAACACGTCTCCACATCTCACACGTCTCCACACGTCTCCAACACGTCTCAACACGTCTCACACACGTCTCCAACACGTCTACACGTCTCCAACACGTCTCCAACACGTCTCACACGTCTCACGTCTCCAACACGTCTCACACGTCTCCAACACGTCTCACAACACGTCTCCAACACGTCTCACATGTCTCCAACACGTCTCCAACACGTCTCCAACTCGTCTCACACACGTCTCCAACACGTCTCACACTCTCTTAAAAAACAGACTCTTTATGGTTTAGTTTTGTATAATTTATCACCTGTCTGACCCTGTGACCTCTGTCCCTCTGTCCTCTCTCCTCTCTCCTGTCCTCTCTGTCCTCTCTCTCTCCTCTCTCTGTCCTCTCTGTCCTCTCTGTCTTCTCTGTCCTCTCCCCATCCTCTCTCTGTCCTCTCTCTGTCCTCTCTCCTCCTCTCTCCATCTCCTCTCTGTCTCTCTCTGTCCTCTCTCTGTCCTCTCTCTGTCCTCTCTCTCCTCTCTCTGTCCTCTCTGTCCTCTCTGTCCTCTCTGTCCTCTCTCTGTCCTCTCTGTCCTCTCTCTGTCCTCTCTGTCCTCTCTCTGTCTCTCTCTGTCTCTCTCTGTCCTCTCTCCTCTCCTCCTCTGTCTCTCTGTCCTCTCTCTGTCTCTCTCTGTCCTCTCTGTCCTCTCTCTGTCCTCTCTGTCCTCTCTGTCCTCTCTCTGTCCTCTCTCTCTCTCTGTCCTCTCTCTCCTCCTCTCTCTGTCCTCTCTCTGTCCTCTCTCTGTCCTCTCTCTGTCCTCTCTCTGTCTCTCTCTCTCCTCTCTCTGTCCTCTCTCTGTCTCTCTCTGTCCTCTCTGTCCTCTCTCTGTCTCTGTCCTCTCTCTGTCCTCTCTCTGTCCTCTCTGTCCTCTCTCTGTCCTCTCTCTGTCCTCTCTCTGTCCTCTCTCTGTCCTCTCTCTGTCCTCTCTCCTCTCTTTCTCCTCTCTGTAGCCTGTAGCTGCAGGTTCAGGGATCCCGGAGATCAAGAGTTACCTGAACGGAGTCAAGATCCCGGGAATCGTACGACTCAGGACCTTCTTCTGTAAAGTGGGCGGAGTCGTGCTGAGCGTGGCAGGAGGTACGTGTCTCTGCTCCTGTCTCTGCACCTGTCTCTGCTCCTGTCTCTCCTGTCTCTGCACCTGTCTCTGCACCTGTCTCTGCTCCTGTCTGTTGTGTGTGACGCCCCCTTGTGTTCTCTCCTCAGGGCTGTTCGTGGGTAAAGAGGGGCCCATGATCCACAGCGGCGCCATCGTGGGAGCAGGACTGCCTCAGGTCAGACACACAAACACACAACAACAACTCAGGTCAGACACACACACAGACACCGCCTCAGGTCAGAGAGAGTTTATATGTTTAATGGTTCATGACGTCTCTGATCGTGTGAGGTCGTGTTGTTCACTGTTTCCTGTTTCTTCTCTCAGTTTCAGAGCATCTCCTTTAAGTGGATCAAGTTTGATTTCCCGTACTTCCGCAGTGACAGGTCTGTGCACTCTGGGTCTGGCTCTGGTCTCTGGGTCTGGGTCTGGGTCTCTGGGTCTGGCTCTGGGTCTGGCTCTGGGTCTGGCTCTGGGTCTGGCTCTGGCTCTGGCTCTGGTCTGGTTCTGGGTCTGTTCTGGGTCTGGCTCCGGGTCTTGGTACCTGTTTTCCTCCCCGGGGTCACAGATCAGATCACATTGTTCATATTTGTAGTGACGTGCCAGAGGGTCCCTTTGTGGAGCCCTGTTTTTATAAATCTTATATTTGACTCTGTGTCTCTTTTGTCTCTTCTGTCTCTTCAGGGACAAACGGGACTTTGTTTCGGCCGGAGCAGCTGCTGGCGTCGCCGCTGCCTTCGGGGCGCCTATAGGGGGCACTCTGTTCAGTTTAGAGGAGGGCTCCTCCTTCTGGAACCAGGCCCTCACCTGGAAAGTGGTACGTGCCCGGGGCCCATGACAGTTTCTCCCAAACGTTTTTTCTGGGGATCCATATTTTAAAAATCACAAATCTTCACGACCCAAGTCAAAGGGCAATATTCATAAATCACCAAATAAATCTGTGACGATTATTGAACATTAATGAGGATATTTTATTGTTACTGAGTGATCGTGTCTCTGAATAATCAGTATTACTCAAGTTTTAAACAATGAAAAACAGTCATCAGTGTTTCCCACAGAAAATTGGTGAGGCAGGTTGCGCGGAGAAGAAGTGAAGTGGCGGGTGCACGGAAGTGAGGAGGGGTCGTGCAGATCGTGACAAGGCGACCCAAAAAAAAATCTCTTGCGACCCACCTGAGGGTCATGACCCAGACTTTGGGAAACAATGGCCCATGATAATCACATTTTAATGAGTGATTTTGTTTAAAAGTTTCTCTCTTTGTTCTTCAGCTCTTCTGCTCCATGTCGGCCACTTTCACTCTGAACTTCTTCCGTTCTGGGATTTATTTTAATAAGTGGGGCTCGTTCCAGCTGCCCGGGCTGCTCAACTTTGGAGAGTTTAAGGTGAAGTGTGTGTGAAGAATCAGTGTGTTTAAAAACACAGTGGAGCTCGGAGTTTGTGAAGAGACAGAAGTCTTGACTGTGATGAATGTTGTTCAGTGTGCAGACGGAGATAAACAGTGCCACCTGTGGACGGCCGTGGACCTGGCGTTCTTCGTGCTGATGGGGGTGGTGGGCGGCCTGCTGGGGGCGCTCTTCAACTGCATGAACAAGTGTCTGGCCAAATATCGCATGAAACACATCCACCCCAAGGCCCGAGGCGTCAGGTGAGTCCTGTCAGGCAGGTGAGCCCTGTCAGGTGAGTCCTGTCACGCAGGTGAGCCCTGTCAGACCTAAACTCTCGTTTTCATGTGTGTGTGCGTGTCTCTGTGTGTGTTCGTGTTCATATGTGTGTGTGTCTGTGTTTGTGTTGGGGTGTGTTCATGTTCATGTGTGTCTGTGTGTGTGTGTTCATGTTCGTGTGTTTGTGTGTGTGTGTGTGTGTGTGTGTTCATGTTCATGTGTGTGTGTTCATGTTCATGTGTGTGTGTGTTCATGTTCATGTGTGTGTTTGTGTGTGTGTGTTCATGTTCGTGTGTGTGTGTCTGTGTGTGTTTGTGTGTGTGTGTACATGTTCATGTGTGTGTGTTTGTGTGTGTGCAGGGTTCTGGAGAGTCTGCTGGTTTCCATGGTGACGTCGTTGCTCATCTTCGCCTGCTCCGTGTTGGTGGGAGAATGTTTGGAGCTGCACCCGCCGACTCACAACACCACAGTATGTACAAGTACACACTGTGTATGGAACTACTCTGTGTACTCTTCGTACTCTGTGTACTCTGTGTACTCTGCGTACTCTCTGTACTCTCTGTACTCTGCGTACTCTCCGTACTCTGCATACTCTGTGTACTCTGCAGTTCTGGGTCAGACCCTTTGTACAGAAAAGTGTTTGGTTTTGCTCCAGAGATTCAGTTTCTTGTGTTGGAAACATTACAAACCAAAACACATCCTGTCCCCTGAGTCCGGTCCCTGAGTCCGGTCCTGAGTCCGGTCCCTGAGTCCGGTCCCTGGGTCCGGTCCCTGAGTCCGGTCCCTGGGTCCGGTCCCTGGGTCCGGTCCCTGGGTCCGGTCCCTGGGTCCGGTCCCTGGGTCCGGTCCCTGGGTCCGGTCCCTGGGTCCGGTCCCTGGGTCCGGTCCTGGTCCCTCAGTCCGGTCCCTCAGTCCAGTCCCTGGTCCGTGAGTCTGGTCCCCGAGTCTGGTGGTTGTGTGTTTCAGGGCGGAGACACAAACTCTTCTGTGCGTCAGTTTTTTTGTCCAAACAACTCGTACAACGACATGGCCACACTTCTGTTCAACCCCCAGGAGAAAGCCATTCACCAGCTCTTCCACCAGGACGGTAAACACACTTCCTCTACTCCTCTGCTCCTCTGCCTCATCTTCCTTTTACACACACATTTACACACACTTACACACACACACACATTTACACACACTTACACACACACACACACACACATGGGTCTGGTCAAGTGGTAACGGAGGGAAACAGGGGCAGATTTTTGACATTCAAATGTCTCTTATTCAGAAACTAGAGGAACTATTGAAATAAGTAAAGTATCAGAATGTAGGAAAGAGTTACACTCCAACAGGGTCAAGTTAAACCTGTGAGATTCTTTCAAGTTGTTGACAAAAAATTAAAAAACTCATGTCGTTAACGGAGGGAATGAAATATGCAGCACTTTTTGGTCAATAAATCCAAACAGTGATAACTCTTGGTTCTCACTTCCATATCCTTAACAAACTGGTTTGAATATTTGCTTCATATAGTTTTCTACCATATGGTACAAGATTAGGTTGAAAAACCTCTGACTTTTTGACTCATGAGATTTTTTATTAAGAAAGTTCATGGTAACGGAGGGAAAAGTAACGGAGGGAAAATTGTACAAACAAGTAGAAGGTGCAGGATTTTACATCATTTGTCGCTTTTTTCTTCTGAAAACTTTAATATTACTTCAAAATGAAAGGAAACTATTTCTATAAAATATGTCAGTCCTTCCAAGAACATTTTTATCATTTTAAATACTTTTTTTTTTTTGAAAAATCATGTACCTTCATCAACAGTTCAAAGATGGAATAACACAAGATATGATGAAATACAAACATTTATTTACATGATTTTTGGGTCTTTGAAATTTGGGAAATAATTTTTGTTCCATGTTTCATACATGGTCTGTTTAAAACAGATGGAACTTTAGAACCAAAAATGGTCCAGAAAAAAGGTCAACAGTTTCATAAACTAGAGAACATATGTATCTGTTCAATACATTTTTATATCAGATGAATTAACTTGAATTTTTGGTCTTGATGTTTACTTCTACTGGACCGGGACCAAACACACATTTACAGAGAAAAACATTAACCAGAAGTTCCACAAACCTCCAGCGAGACACTTCAGATGATGTGAAAAACCTCAATGGAAAAGCTCAAATAAAATTGTGTGTGTGTCTCTGCGTGTGCGTTTGCTCGTGTGTGTGTGTGTTCTGTGTGTGTGGTGTGTGTGTGTCTCTGCGTGTGTGTTCTGTGTGTGTGTGTGTGTGTGTGTGCAGGTCTGTTCAGCCCCCTCAGCCTGTCGGTCTTCTTCGTGCTGTATCTTCTGTTGGCGTGTTGGACGTACGGCGTGTCGGTGCCCAGCGGTCTGTTCGTGCCGTCTCTGCTCTGTGGCGCCGCCCTCGGACGCCTGCTCGCCAACGTCCTCAACGCGTGAGACAAACACACACACCTGTCCCTCTGTGTCCCTCTGTGTCCCTCTGTGTCCCTCTGTGTCCTGCTTCTGTCTCTGTCTCCATGTTTGTCTCTCTGTCTCTTTCTCCTTCTCCATTACTATTTCTATCTCTCTGTCTCTGTTGTTTTGTCTCTGTCTCTGTCTCCACTCTGTCTCTCTGTGTCTGTCTTTGTCTTCGCTCTGTCTCTCTCTCTCTGTGTCTGTTTCTCCGTTTCCATTGCTGTTTGTGTCTCTCTGTCTCCGCTGTCTCTGTGTCTCTGTCTCAATGTCTCAGTCTTGGTGTCTGTCTCTCTCTCTGTCTCCGCTCTGTCTCTGTTTCCACTCTGTCTCTGTGTCTGTCTCTGTCTGTCTCTCCTTCTCTGTCTCTGTCTTAGTCTTGATGTCCGTCTTCGCTCTGTCTCTATCTCTGTCTCTGTCTTTGTCTCCGCTCTGTCTCTGTCTCCTTTCCGTGTCTGTCTCTCTGCATCTGTTTCTCCGTATCCATCGCTGTCTCTGTCTCTCTGTTCTTGTGTCTGTGTCTGTCTCCGTCTCTGTGTCCGCTCTGTCTCTGTCATTCTGTCTCCATCTCTGTGTCGGTCTCTTAGTCTTTGTCTCCGTCTCTCTGTCTCTGTGTCTGTCTCTCTGTCTTTGTCTCCGTCTCTCTGTCTCGGTTTCCTCTGTCTCCGCTCTGTCTCTCTCTGTATCTGTCTCTGTGTCTTTGTTTCTGTCTCTGTCTCCGCTCTGTCTCTGTGTCTCTGTCTTTGTCTTCTCTGTGTCTGTCTCTTAGTCTCAGTGTCTCTGTGTCTGCGTCTGTCTCCACTCTGTCTCTCCGTCTCTGTCTATGTCTCTGTCTTTCTCTCTCTCTGTGTCTATCTCTCCATCTGTCTCTGTGTCTTTGTTTCTGTCTCTCTGTCTCTGTCTCCGTCTCCACTCTGTCTTTGTCTCTGTCTCTCTGTCTGTCTCTCTGTCTCTGTCCCTGTCGCCGCTCTGTCTTCACTCTGTCTTTATCTCTGTCTCTGTCTCCCTGTCTCTATCTCTGTGTTTGTCTCTGTCTTTGTCTCCACTCTGTCTCTCTGTTTCTGTCTCTGCTCTGTCTCCCTGTCTCTGTCTGTGTTTTTGTCTCCGTTTCTCTGTCCACTGTACTGACGTTGTTTTTCTCGTCTGTCGTGTTTTTTTTTCCAGGGAGCTCCACATGCACGTTTACTCGGGGACGTTCGCTCTGATCGGGGCGGCGGCGTTTCTGGGGGGCGTGGTCCGTATGACCATCAGCCTGACGGTCATCCTCATCGAGTCCACCAACGAGATCACGTACGGCCTCCCCATCATGATCACGCTCATGGTACGACACACAGCTGAGTTTAGGTTTAGGCTTAGGTTTTTAGTCGCACTTTAAATTTGAAGACGCCACAGTTTAAGGTTCAGCATTTTTGACTATTTCTTTCAAAAATAGTGAATCTCCTGTCGGTTTTAACCAGATGGTTTTGTAGAACATGTACATCTGTTTTTGTTTCTCCTCAGGTGGCCAAATGGACCGGAGATCTGTTTAATAAAGGAATCTACGACATCCACATCGAGCTGCGAGGAGTCCCCCTGCTGGAGTGGGAGACCGAGGTCGAGATGGACAAGTACGAGGAGACACCAAAAACACCACCAAAAAAAACACCAAAAACACCACCAAAAAAACACCAAAACACCATCAAAGTGGTTTAACAAATCCAGGTTTATCCTAAAATTCTGAACTGAATCTTACTCCATCTTCATTTTAAGCCCTAAATTGTTCCATGACAGAAATAATCCTGTCCACACTTTCCCCCCGTGCACAGGAGCGTTTGGACTGTAAACGACTCAAGCGACACGCGGCTATAAAAGACACTTTTTAAATTGTATCACACACAGACACACGGACACAGACACACGGACACAGACACACAGGTGTGTGCTTAAACTGTATCACACTCACAGGTGTGTGTTCTAACACAGGTGTGTGATGCTCGTGCTGAAACTTTGGACTAAACTGTTTAGATGTTCTTGGAGCTAAAATAATCTTGACAGTGAGTCTGGTCCTGACCAGGTGTGTTTCCAGGTGCTTGTTACTGTGGCAACTCAGTGCTGCCTCTGGTCAATTTTGTGGAACTGAACTGAGGCTTTGTCAAGCCTAGATTGGTCAAATAAATAGATTTTCACTTTATCTCACTTCATGAAAACCCCCAGGCCACACATTTAAGACGTGTTTATAGAACGTTGTGCTGGAGACACGGGCCTAAACCTCAGAGTTACAGAACTGGTCTGTTCATGAGTCTGTCTCCTATTTTGAGCATTTTTTCTTCATTCAAAAGGAAAAATATTTTGTTAATTGTTGATTAACACTACAGTCAACAATGATCACTCTGGTGGTGGATAAAACTTATAATGTTCCATTTCAAAATACTTTCTGATGCCGTCATTTTAGAATTCAGGCCTGGCCCTGCCCAGCTTCTGAGATCTGACCAGATGTAAACCAGGACTGAGCCAGGACTGAGCCAGGACTGAGCCAGGACTGAGCCAGGACTGAGCCAGGACTGAGCCAGGACTGAGCCAGGACTGAGCCAGGACTGAGCCAGGACTGAGCCAGGACTGAACCAGGACACACAGACTGTAGATGTGTCCTAGACCGACATGCCTTCACTTACAGACAGAAGACCCAGACTCCTCTGTTGTTGTCCCTTGTGTCTCTGAAGTAACTGTGCTCTCTGTGTCTCTCTGTCTCTCTGTCTCTCTGTGTCTCTGTCTCTCTGTGTCTCTGTCTCTCTGTCTCTCTGTCTCTCTGTGTCTCTGTCTCTGTCTCTGTGTCTCTGTGTCTCTGTCTGTCTCTGTCTCTCTGTCTCTGTCTCTGTCTCTCTGTCTCTCTGTCTCTGTCTCTCTGTCTCTCTGTCTCTCTGTGTCTCTGTCTCTCTGTCTCTCTGTCTCTCTGTCTATTTGTCTATTTGTGTCTCTGTGTCCAGACTGACCGCTAGTGACATCATGGAGCCGAACCTGACGTACGTTTACCCTCACACACGTGTCCAGTCTCTGGTCAGTATCCTGCGCACGACCGTGTACCACGCCTTCCCCGTCGTCACCGAGAACCGCCACAACCAGAGAGACTTCAGCAAAGGAAACATACTGGCCAGCAACAACATCCACTTCAAGGTACGACCCGAGAGGCGCCGGGTTTTACCATACGATACATGATACAGAGCTCATAATACTGCTATTATCATGACATGACTTTAATAAACATAAATAAGTAAACAAAATATCCCACTAAATAAGCAACATTACTGTAGTAAGGTCCCACGATAATGAAACTGTCACCAAATTATTATCACAATATATCGATATTTTGATATTTTCACACACACTCACATTAGTGTGGTCCAAAACTTTTTTTTTTTTGATTCTCTAGATTAGAACCTGCATTTGGTTTCAAATGTGGCCAAAATATTTGGGTCCAAATTTTATGCTAATTAATTAATATTTAGAGTTTGCTCAAGACACTTGAAAAATGTCCCTGTGGACTTAACTGTAACACAGAACCAAATAAATCAGGCCTGTTCTAATAATGTGTCATTTTATTCTAAAAACACAAACTGAAACTTGCATATAACTTAGAAAGTTCATAAAGTTCATAAAAAGTGACTTAAAAACATAAAATTTGTCAATTTACAGGAAACTTCATGCAGCTTGAGCTCCTCTAAATCAGACATGTCAAACTCAGGCCTGGAGGCCAAATTTGGCCCACGATATGATCTCGTGGGCCAAATATAATTATATCAAATCTGTATCAGAGCTGCTGCCGCACACAGATCGACTATAGAGACATGATTTATTTTAAATGTTGTTATTATTTTATTTTCTGTTTGTTCTGGATTCAATGTTTAAGAAAAAATATTATTAAACATTTATTTTAATAAGGAAAAGTTTAACATTACAGATCTCCAAAGAAGAGAAAACATGCAGATATTGTTGAAAGTTTTCAATAAATATTTAGTTTGTCCCAGTTTTTAGTTTCGGCCTCTGTGAGTTTGAGTTTGACTCTCCTGATCTAAAACTTCTCCTTTTTCTTCCACATTTTTTCATAAATCATTTTTTGGTGCTAAAACCGAATGCAGGTTCTAATCGAGCTGATCTCAAACTTTATTTTTTACCATGTTTTGATGGACCCAAAATCAGGTCCTTAAACCCACACGCCACATCATCACCTGCCACCTCACCTGTCCTGTCACCTGTCACCTGTCACCTGTCACCTGTCCACTCACCTGTCCACTCACCTGTCCTGTCACCTGTCCACTCACCTGTCACCTGTCACCTGTCCACTCACCTGTCCTGTCACCTGTCACCTGTCCACTCACCTGTCCACTCACCTGTCCTGTCACCTGTCACTCACCTGTCACCTGTCCACTCACCTGTCCTGTCACCTGTCCTGTCACCTGTCCTGTCACCTGTCCACTCACCTGTCCACTCACCTGTCCTCTCACCTGTCCACTCACCTGTCCACTCACCTGTCCTGTCACCTGTCCAGCTGCAGGTCGACTCTCGTCCAGTCCGACACCACATTCTCTTTGACTCACTGACTCTGACATTGTTTTTCCACTTAACCTACAAATGTTTAACAGAATCGAGTCATGAGGAGAGTGATTTTTATTGTTTGAACAGAGACAAAACATCCACAAACACATGAACAAACACATTAACAATCCAGTGATCCGATACTTATGAGCGTTTATAGTTTAATTCACAACTACAGCAACAGTGGCAGCATTAGAACGGCGGAACAGAGGTCCAGTGTGGTTCCTGTTCTGTAGTTGATGGTTGACTTCTTGTGTGCAGAGGTCCAGTGTGGTTCCTGTTCTGTAGTTGACGGTTGACTCTTGTGTGCAGAGGTCCAGTGTGGTTCCGCGGGCCGGTGAGCAGAGGCGCAGGTGTCAGTCCATGAAGTCGTATCCGTCCAGTGAACTGAGGAACATGTGCGACGAGCAGAACCCAGAACCTGAACCTGAGGAGGGAGAAGACCTGCTGCAGCAGATGCTCCAGACCAGGTCAGAGTTAAAGCACAGAACACACACACACAGAACACACACACACAGAACACACACACAGAACATCACACACCTCAAACGTCTCTGCTCCGTCCAACCCCCCGTGCCCTCTGTGCCCAGACACACGCCGTACCCAAACCTGTACCCGGACCAGTCGCCCAGCGAGGAGTGGACCATGGAGGAGCGCTTCAGGCCCCTCACCTTCCACGGGACCATCCTGCGCTCGCAGCTCGTCAGCCTCCTGCTGCGGGGGGCCTGCTACGCCGAGAACCAGTCTGTGAGTCTGAGCTCCGTCAAACCGTTTAAACCCGACGACCCCGGTGTGTTTCACGACAGGTTTCAGTCTCTGTCAGATGTTGCCGCTCGTGGACGTTCCCGTAACAATGACTTTATTTGAGAGGGACTTGTTTAAGAGTCAGATCAGCACCTGCCTCCTCCAGTTAGTTTCACTTTTCCAGGAAACACTGATGATTGTTACTTGGAAAGAAACTCTTACAGCAGTTTTCTGAGCATCATTTGATTACCGTATTTTTTGGACTATAAGGCGCACTAAAAATCCTTTAATTTTCTCAAAAAATGACAGTGATTCTTATAATCCGGTGCCTTAAGTATTAATTCTGGTTGTGTTACTGACCTTGAATCGATTTTATGTGGTACATGACGCTCAAAAATCTCTCAAAATGTTCAAGTATGACTTTGGTAAGTGACGAAGGACAGAATTTTCGGTCCCACTTCAGTTCACTTCGTAGAAACCGTGTGACCTCGCAGCATTAGGATTCGTTCACTCGACAGTCAGCGGGGACTTTTTTTATTTAACCAATCGTTGTTGTTTGGTCGTGACGTTTGTAAAGCTCCAAATCCTGTAGGAAGAAGAACAATAACGTCTTTCCCCGAGATAAAATTCACCAAACATTCTCTTTGTTCCGACTTTAAATCCTCGATCTGGGGAATCGTTGCCAACACAGAATGTCCAGCTCTTCTCTGATTTCTGATTGGCTGGAGAGAAATGAAACTGAGCGGAGGCACTAGGTGGCACCAGCCTGGCTAATAATCTGGTGTCTTATGTATTAATTCTGGTTGTGTTACTGACCTGGAACCGATTTTATGTGGTACACAGAGCTCAAAATCCTGTCAAAATATTTTAGTACGACTTTGGTAAGCGACGAAGTTGACCAATTTTCAGTCCCATTCCACCACAATATCTGCAATATTTTGTCCTGCTCCCGCCCGCAAATCCTGCAAGACGGGGATGTTCTCTTTCTTAAACTGTAACAAATACGGAGAAGCGGAATGGGATTGACTAAAATGTGCACGAGATTAGAGCACGTCCACACGTTCAGGCTGCTTAAAATGTTTATGTTTATGTTATTAATGCCAAATAAAATCTCCAGCACAAATGATGTATGAGGCAAACATGAATCATTTGTGTATTTTACTTTACACTCATGTTTAGTTTGTGGGACTGCAGTTTATCATCCCACCTGCTCTCTCCTGCATAGTGTCGTCCCGCTCCCTCCCGCTCCTTCCCGCTCCCTCCCGCTCCGTCCCGCTCCGTCCCGCTCCTCCGCTCCTCTACCGCTCCGTCCCGCTCCGTCCCGCTCCCTCCCGCTCCCTCCCGCTCCCTCCCGCTCCCGCTCCCGCTCCCTCCGCTCCCTCCGCTCCCTCCCGCTCCCTCCCGCTCCTCCCGCCCCTCCCGCTCCTCCGCTCCCTCCGCTCTCCGCTCCCGCTCCCGCTCCCTCCCGCTCCCTCCCGCTCCCTCCCGCTCCCTCCCGCTCCCTCCCGCTCCCTCCCGCTCCCGCAGTGAGTTTTCAAAATGTGTCCCGCGCCGCGCTGTTTTGTGTCCGGTCCCGCGGGGGCAGGGCTTTACTACGAAGCCGCGCCGCCTGATGGATTGTTGGAGCGTTACAGCGACCGTAGTCAGGAGCCTCGAGGAGTAAAACATTCATCAAGACAGGGAGACGACACCAGGCGAGTTACACCACGATCTGCTGATGGATCATAGAAGCCTGGGCTGAGGATCAGTCTCAAGTGTCGTCCATTTGTGTTGCTCAATGTGCCTTATAATCTGGTGTGACTTACGCATGAAAATAGACGGGAGAATTCAACATTATTGATATTGCGCCTTATAATCCGGTGCATTTTATAGTCCGAAAAATACAGTAGTTTGCATAGAGTTTAGTATTTTAAATGTTACATGAGCTTCTTTCACATCGTCCTGTTTGTAAAACATTTACCTAATGTTGTCGACCAGTTTCAAATCATATGTTTCCCTTTTACATGTTGTAAGTGAACGTCACTGCACACGAGCACTGGGAAAATGTTCTGTTTGCAGTAACTCGTTTTCACCTCAACCCAGTTTCTTATTACATATTTAAGACTTTTTATCTGTGTGTGTGTGTGTGTGTGTGTGTGTGTGTGTGTGTGTGTGTGTGTGTGTGTGTGTGTGTGTGTGTGTGCAGAGCGCCT